CTGGTGCAAATTTGGGGGTGCAAATCTGGGCGAGATTATTCCAGTGATTTTGGAAGAGAAAAATTCCTCTTTCCCTCACATGTATGYGGATATGCATATGAACACATTTCAAATTTCTTACTGTTCCCAGAATCAGAGAAAAATCTCGTTAGATCTGATGAAAGCTTTCAAAATCATTTTCACACTGCAATATTCCTGATGTTCCTAGACTTTGTTTCWTAAAGTCGTAGATTGTTTATTGCAAGCGGCATATTATAGAAACAGAAAAGAAATAACATGAGTGAAGTTTAGGCACCTAAATAMAAGTGAGTGATGACATATTTAATAACCAATGATATCCAAAATATCCCCACTGCATAGACCTGGGTGACATAGGCTGAACAGGAAATCTATGCCTTCTTAGGTCGTGGCAGAATAGGGATCTAAATGGATATGAAATGTCTGCATTTAGGCAAACAAATCTCTTTACATGAATTCTTCCAAAACCAGAATTCATTTTGCCCTTCAGTTTCATACATCAGCTTTGTACTCTGATAACAAAAGTGGAGAGCTGCCKGCCTTGAGTCTAAACCAGATACATTGTTTCTTTAAGTCCAAAAGAWGGTTACATTTGCCTTCCTCTTTTCAGGTATCTGGACATTCTTACTGTGCTTTGTCTGGTTCTAGTGTTTCAGTGTCCCTGGCAGCAGCTCAGAAATGGCTATTTGTGATAAGTCATTTTAGCTCTACAATTCATGCTGTTTTTAGTTTTTTGTGGTTGGTTTAGTTTGCTGGGGAGGTTGGATTTTTTTTTTTTTTTTTTTTTTTTTTTTTTTTTTTATGCTTTTTTTTTTTTTTTTTTTTTTTTTAATTATTATTTTACTTTTAATGCTTGTATTTTGTTTCCCACTCTGCAAAGTGACTAATGTTAAAGGATCTTGAATCTGATTTCCCAACAACTCACRTTACGGAAACTGAACTTCTACGTGCTGGATAAACACATGGAGTACCAGATAGCACAGTCACCTGCCACCTTCCTTTCATAATAATTACATTTTTCTGTGCAGTATTCTAAAGGCATGTGAGGTCAAAAATGATATTCTTTGTGTAAGGTGGAGTTCCAGAAATAGGGCTGTAAAAAGTATCAGCGGTACCCTGCTGTTGTGAAACATCGTGTTTAATTTATCTAAATGGTTAATAATTTATGTGAGGTTTAAAGCCATCCACTTGTCAATTCCTTTCCAGAAGATTACATCTGGTGCAGTAGCTGTTGTGGTGCTGAGGGTAGCTATGGACAAATGAACCACATAACACTGCTGCAGTTATTTTGGGAGTGAGGGGAAACCTTCAACTACCACCAGACACAGGCACAGCTGCTGTAACCCTGCACACCTAACACTCATAACACTCACCCTGGGCTATCAGAGTTCTCTCTAGGAAGGAACTTCAGGCCTCAGTTGAAGGCTGGCCAGCACAGATTGCATCACTGAATGCATGGTTTATTGCAGACGTTCCGTGTGCCTGGCCTCACGCAGCCCCAGCGCCAGGAGCACAAGCCAGCATTGACACGGCTGSCCTGCAGCTCACAGCCCTGCGTGCCACTCAGTCAACCTGCACTGAAACGACTTGTTCTTGGCTATAACARCATTYCAGAAATCACAAMCCCTTGATTTGATTTAATTTGATCRATTTGAAGGGTTTCATTCTCATTCTAAAAAACGCTGCACAGGATTTAATTTCAATCTTGTGTTACAGTTCAAGGCAAGATTCCATCAGAGGGATGTTCTGACAGAGCTATCACAGGGAATCACAGAACTTGCTATTGAAACAGCAAACACTGTTGTCAAAGCTGGCAATAAAATTCATCTCTCTACTCAAGTTTCTTACAAAAGTATGCTAAAGTATTCATGCTTTTCAATTGATAAAAAAGTCCTAAACCAAACAACAACAGAAAACACAAGTGCAAATCTGCTTCTTGATAGTGCAGAAAAAGAGAATTTAGTCGGGGGAAACACTGGAGTGTCACTCTGGTGCTCTGGTCTGTGGAGCTGTACACTGAGTTTCAGATTTCGGTGAAAAGCAGCTTGTGGAAAGGACTGAGAGTGGTAGTACTGATTTGATCCCTTGGAACTTTCTCCTTACCTGCAGTAAAAGACACACATTTTAACAATAATTCTGAACTAAAACTTCAATGCAAGCTGCAATAATGGGCAAGACTCCTCACAAAACATTCAACCACAGATACTTTTCAAATACTTAGGCACTACTGCCAGGAAGTTAGCTAGGGGCATCTCCACTTGTGGTCACTGGATAAATTTGGCTCTCATGAAGTACTTGGGCCCATTTTCAAAGTTAAAAATGGGCTTCTGAAATGCTCAAGAAGGAGCAAGAATGCACAGCTCATTTTATGAGGATCATAAAATGATCCCCATGTGTTCAACACATTTTAAGTGGATTGAGATAGCAAATATACATAAATTGGGGCCTTTTTTTACTGAACAAATGACATTTTTCTTTGGGTCATCCTCAGTGTCATTACTGCTGATGCAATTTATTTTGGGGGGCTTTTGGAGAAAACGTATGGGGAGACAAGACTTATGCCTGATTATAGCCTTGCACTGGAAAAAGTAGCTATTTCTGTGGCTTCAGTCTAGTGCTTGAGTAGAGATAATTCCTTTCTCTTTGACKGCAGCTATGACAAAAGATGGTGTAAAGGTGTGATACCAGTTCTCTTAGGGGATGAAGCTTTTAATGGTAAAACCACGATACATACATTGTGAGTATTTTGATAAAGGCAAGGGCGGATGTGGGGAAGGGTGACCAAAAAAAAAAATCCCACAAAAATTCTCTACTGTTTTCAAAGATAATCAGAGGTAGTTTGGATTTTTTAAACTTCCACTTTGTCAGTAATAGTTGGGAGTTTACTCTAATTAAAGGCACAATTTTGTCACATTAATCAAGTGTTGTGATTCTAAATAGCATACAGGAATTTGAAAACTGGAGAGCTTGATTTTCTGGAAGTGGGGTGCATACTGAATAGCTTGAGTCCATTGGGATTTTTCTCAATATATATTTTAATTTTACTTGATAAACACCTAGACCTGATTATGACTAAGAAAGATAAAATTGAAAGATGGGGGGAAAAGCCTGCTGAGTTGAGTATTTGAGAATACACAGAAATTTATTTTTAGGGAAACAGTAAATCTTAGAACAAGAACCACTGTGCTGTACAAATATAGCAATTATCAAAACCACACTAGGCAGCTTAAGTGTATTTMTGATGAAAAGGAAACCAAGTCACACAGCTCAACAAATGTTTTGGTGTTGGGACTCAGCAGAAATCTGCCAGTCTTTTAATATCAACTCTATTAACTGTTCAGAGATTACTGGGTTTGCACTTGTACAAAGAAGGAGTTAAAAAAGGTTACACTTGAGCAGATTCTAGGTCAAATGCTCTCAGATATCTTTAGCCAAGCTCAGGAAACCCTTTTTATTCTTACAGTTGTTTGCAAAGAGAGATGGTAAGTCAGGAGAACCTTTCGGTTCACATTCTCACCCATGCAACATTTCCAATGCTACAGTTGAACCATCACATAGGTCCTTCTGTGCCTCAGTATTCCACTGACTGCATTTCCCTCATGCAATGCTATTCCCAGAGAAAGCACTGGCAGCAACAACCATCAGGACAGACTATGAGATACAGAAAAAAAAAAAAAGTAAATTTGTTTCTTACTACATGCAAGTGAAATGATAATAGCATTAATTTTTATTGATTTTTTTTCTAGAAGTGACTTTGTTGCTGTCATGACCAATTAGATTACCACCAAAATTGTTCTGAAAAATATATTATTTTTTGCTATTATTCATTCTAATCGTGATTTTTATTTGCCTGGCATTTTAAAACAATTACATGACTAAGCCAAAGACACAAAAATGTGCCTATGTCAGGTTACAGCTACGTAAAAAGTTGCACAGAATAGGTGAAAACTCAAAACAATATTTCTTTTTCTGGCTGAACTTTTTAAATGYGGATGAATATCAGCATACAATTGCCTCTTGCAGGTATTTAACTCTTCCTGATCTCAGTTTTCTGCCTGGAGCACCTATACCAGTTGTCCTGCCTCCTATTTTTCTGAAGAAAATGAGATTTTRCATGCCTGTGAAGCAATTAGGCAAAAAGCCCCAGTGGCTTGGTCTCTGCAGTTTTGTAAAAGGATAGCTGTTCACAAGCAACGAGTAAATCCAGTCAATTATCTGACACTGTAAAATTCCTGATATGTTTGCCAGACTTTGTATATAAGAACTGTTAATCAACKCAGACTTCTGCTGTCAGTGTAACAGAATGAGCTGTTCAGGGGACAAGGAATCCTTCATTTCATTGAAAATGAATGTCCTGCAAAATCATCTGTGACTCAGCCAAAATGAAAACCGTTGAATATTGCTTCTATGACAGGAAAATCTTTCTCCAGAATTGAAATCTTGGCTTGTGTGTGGTGATTTTTTCAGCCGATTCAGGGAAACAGCAAAGCATTTGCCTCAACACATTCTGTATTTTCACCAGGCTGACATCTCAGTTACTGTCCCTGACCATGCCAAGGACAGTCAGGTTTKTACATGCAGCTGTCTTTACCAGGGGCTTACAGTTTTTGACTATCAMATTGACTGACGTACACAGTATTGTCCACTCTGCTTGGTGCCTTCAAACTGTTCTTCAATAYAGCAAGGGTTATTTTTTATTTTGAAATAGGATGAACAGTGATAAGGACAGCCATGCAATTGCCACAGAGGGTTTTGTGTACATAGAGCAGAGCAGAAGCAGGCTGCTGTGGAGCAGCCCTGGGCACGAGGGAGCATTTGCACATTCTGCGTCCTCCGAGCTGTGGCTGGACGTGGGTGCAGAGCCCAGCCGGGAGCCCAGCCTCCTCTCGAGCCGCTTTTCTGGCACAAGATAACGGGTCTGTGCCCTGGCCTCGGTMATCGCCTGTTTCTCCAAGGCATAACTATAAATTCCCGATGCACAGAAGGATGTGTCAGTGCAGTTAATGATTTGTCAGGCCCGTCCGGCGGTGTGTGGCTGCGGGCAGGAGGTCGCGGGTCACGCCGGGGGCAGCGCTGGYCCCGCTCGGGTTCGGCCGCGGGTCCGGCTCTGTGTCCGGGCTCACTCCACGGGGCACCCGCCGGTCCCGCCGCGGCCTGGGGTCCCGGGGCCGCGCACCTGCCGGGCCCGCCCGGCCTGGAGGAGCAGCCGAAGGGCACCGCTCGGCCCCCGCCCGCCCCCCGTTGCCTCCCGTCGCAGCGCGGAGCCGGCGGCCGCCCGCCCCCGCCGCCGCCCTCGCACGTGTGCCGGGGAAGGCGCTCGGTGCCGCCCGGGCGGCGCTTCCCCCCGCTCCCCGTCGCCTCCCCCTCCTCCGCAGCGGGAGCGAGAGCAGCCTCCGCCCGGCAGCGCCGGGGCCGCTCGCCGCCGTGCCGCCCCGCCAGGACGTCGCCGCCGCCGATGGCCGCCCCGCTGCCCGGTGCGCCC